AACAAGAGCAAATTACATATTCTCAACATGATACAATTCTCTAGGCTAGACCACCTATAAGGCCACAAAACAAGTCTCAATAAATTTTGTTTAGGGCCTGGGATTTAGCTCAGTGGTCCCTCTGCCTGCCTCGCAAGCACAAGGACCGGAGTTCCATCCCTGGTACCAAAAAAAAAAAAATTTTGTTTGTTTTTGGTTTTTTTGAGACAGGGTCTCACTGTGTAGTCCAGGCTAGACTTGAACTCATTATGTAACCCAGAGTGCCTCGAACTGTGGCTATCCTCCTGCCTCAGCTTCCCTGAGGGCTGGGATTACAGGCATGCACTACCATATGTGCTCTCAATAAATTTTTTAAAGACTTGAATTGTACAAAATGTGTTCTCCAACCACAGTGGAATGAATGAAATTGGAAATCAATAGCTGAAGGAAAACTGGAATACTCTTTAGATATATTTGCTTTCCTCTAATTTTGCCAAACATATACCCCTAAAATGTTCTGGAAGTTGTACCCAGGGTAACTAGGCAAGAAAAGAAAAGGCATTCAGGCTGGAAAGGAAGGATAAAACTACCTGTATTTTCTACATTAAAAATATCCTAAGGTACCCCCCCAGCTAACAGAGCTAACAGACTTCAGCAAAGTTGCAGATATATAATTAATGAACAACAAATTGAATTTCTAAGCACTAGCAATCAACAATGTAAAAATGAAATTTTAAAAATTACATTTATATATAAAAATACTTAGGAATAAATTTCATTAGAAGTACAAGATTTATAATTGAAAAATTATAAAATACTATTTAAAGAATTTTTTAAAAAAATCTAAATAAAATAAACAACGATGTCCCATGTTCAAATACTAGAAAAATTAATAGTTAAGATAGCAATATTCCTCAGATTGATACAAAGACTTAAAGCGATCCTTTAAAATAAATCTCCTGGCTTTTTTTTTGAGAAACTGGCAAACTGATCTAAACCTCACATAGAAAAGCAAAGGACCCAAATAAGTAAACAATCTTGAAAAAGTAGAACAAAATTATAAAGACTCACACTTCCAATTCCAAAACTTAGTACAATGCTACAGTATAAAAGTATGGTACTTGCATAGGGGTAGACAACAGATCAATTTCATATAGAATTGAAAGCCCAGAAATAAACTAAACATCTATAGTCAACTGGTTTTTAGCAATGTTGTCAACATCATTCAATGGGAAAATAAAGTCTTTTCAACAAATAGTACTGAGAAAACTAGATGACCACATTTGAAAGAATAAATTCTGCAGGGTGTGGTGGCACACGCCTGTAATTCCAGCACTTGGGAGGCTGAGGCAGGAGGATCACTGCAAGTTCAAGGCCAGCCTGGGCTACATAGTGAGTTCAGGGACAGCCTGAACTACAAAGGGAGACCCTGCCTCAAAAATAAACCAAAAAAAAAAAGAATAAATTTAGCCACCAACCTCACACAATATACAAAAATTATCTCAAAATGCATCAAAGAACTAAGAATACATAAAAGCTAAAACTATAAAATTTTTCAAAGTAAATATAGAAAAAATTAACTCAAAAATGGATGAAAGAATGACTGTGTAAGACGCAAAACTATAAAACTTTTAGGAAGAAATAGAGAAGCAAAATTTTTGTGATCTTGGATTAGCCAACAGTTTCCTAGACATTGCTATGGCTTGTACCTAGCTAGATGTCCCCTGGAAGCTTCATGTGGTCATACGCAGGGCTTTGTATACGTGGCTGGATCTAGAGTGTGAGATACTGGGATCAAGGATGCGATGCTGGGATTGATTCAAGATGTGATGCTAGGATTAAGGCCGTCCCACCTTGGGTGTGAGTGCTACCCACTCTAAGGGTGAATATCTTGGATAGGATACAGGGAGAGAAGTGATGGTCACTGCTTGTCACTTGTTGATTTCTGCCTTGCTGTCTTCTCCCTTCTGCCTGCTATGAACTGTTTCTCCTCTGCAATGCCCCTTTGCCACACCACCCTGCCTTGTAGCCAGCCAACTATGAAATGAAACCTCTAGGAACTGTGAGCTAAATAAACCTTTCCTCCTTTAACTTTGGGTGGTGGGTATTTTGTGTTAGCAATGAGAAAAGTAACTAAGGCAGATGTGATAGCAAAAACACATATAACCAAAGAAAACATAGTAAATTGTCCATTATCCAAGTTTAACATTTTTGTTTATCAAAGAACACTGGGGGACCAGGGATGTAGCTCAGTGGTTCCACCAGGTGCCCGGCAAGCGCAAGGACCCAAGTTGGATCCCTGGTACCAAAAAAAAAAGAACACTGGAAGAAAGATGAAAAATCCCACGAAGCGGGAAAAATAACTGCAAATCATATGTGAAATTAAGAGTCTAAGTATATGGAAAAAACTACTGCAATTCAGTAACAAAAAGACAGCCATTTATTAAAGTGGCTGAAGACATTTCTCCAAAGAAAATATATAAATGGCCAATAAGCACATGAAAAGATGCTCAACATCATTAGTAATTAAGGAAATGCAAATCAAAACTATGATGAGATACTGCTTCACATCCACTAAAATAGCTATAATCTTTGGGCTGGGGATTTAGCTCAGTGGTGCCGCTGCCTGCCTCAAAAGCGCAAGGTCCTGAGTCCGATCCCCTGGTACCAAAAAAACAAAACAAAACAAAACAAAAACCTATAATCTTTTACAGTGGCACCATGCCTGCCTGTCAAGCAAAAGGTCCTGAGTTCAATCCCCAGCACCACCAAAAAACCCACAAAACTATAATCTTTTAAAAAGTGAGTATGTGGAGAAATTAGAATCCTCATACACTGCTGGCTGATATATAAAATAATATTGCTAACTGTAGAAAACATTTTGGCAGTTCCTCAAAAGTTAAAGATAAATGTTATCATATAATCCAGGAATTCTATTCCTAAATACACAGCTAAGAGAACTGGAAATAGACTGTCACACAAAAACGTATTCATAAATGGTCACAGCAACATTATTTATAATCATCAAAAAAATGGAAACAACCCAAATGTCAACTGATAAACAGATGAAGTGTTGTATATCCATAGAATGGAATATTATTCAGCCATTTTTGAAATACTGATACAAACTACAGTGTAGATGCATGTTGAAAACCAGATACAAAATGCTATATATACCAGTGTGATTCCATTTACATGAAATGTTTCCAAGGAGACAAAGTAATTTAGAAGTTTTAAGGACTGGGAGTAAATAGATTAGGGTACAGTGCTTAATGGTTATGGGGTTTCTTTTAGGGATGATGAAATCCTCTTGAATTGGATAGCGGTGGTGGTTGTAAATATACTAAAACCCAATATATTATACACTTTAAATGGCTAAAATGGTGACTTACGCTATGTGAATTCCATGACAGACAAAAATACCACTTAACTGAAAATTATATAACTGCTCAGCTATAAAGCCATTTCATTATAATTTGAAATAATGTTGGATACATGTCGTCTTTGTGAAGTAGGCTCCAAAATTCTAGATTCTTACAATATATGCATATAGATACCACTGCATCATCATCATCATCATCATCATTATTTGGGGGGGAGGGCGGTGCTGGGGATCGAACTCAGGACCTTGCACTTGCAAGGCAGGCACGGGAACCACTGAGCTAAATCCCCGGCCCCATCATTATTCTTTTGAGGTACCAGGGACTGAATCCAGAGCCTTCACACTGAGTTACATCCCCAGCCCATTTTTATTTTGAGACAGAATCTCACTAAGTCATTAAGTTGCCCAGACTAGGCTTGAAGTTGCAATCTCTGTGCTTCAGCCTCCCAGAGGGCTGGAATTACAGGTGGGAGCCACCATGTCCAACCACTGCATCTTTATTATGCTTACAACTTATGTCAAGAACATATGATAGTAATTAAATTATTCTAATGACAGTTATTAAAATGAGCTGATCAATACTGGAAAAATTTGAACAAATTACTTCCAAAGCTCTACAGGCAAGATAATAGAGTTCCCTATGAAACTCGACCTTTAAAAAGCACCTACAGCAGATAATTTGTGAAACATGTGAGTCAATTATTTACAATGGCCTTTAGAAATGATTTAGAAATGTCAAAATAGCCGGAGATTTAGCTCAGTGGTTCCGGCGCCTGCCTCGCAAGTGCAAGTGCAAGGTCCCAAGTTCAATCCACGGTACAAAAAAAGAAAAAGAAATGCCAAAATGGAGGAAGCTACCATCAAAAAAATCTTTTCATATAATAAAATTAGAAACGTTTATACTATTTTAAGAAGATATCTGTGATTGATAATAACCACCAGTTTTAAAATTCTAATCTCTAATCTTTAATGAAAGCTTATTAGAAATAGCTAGATAAGATTTTTATAATCTACACCACATGGTACCAATTTGTAAGTTTTATAACCTGAAATTACTAAACTTTTTGTATAATTGAAGGTCCATAAAGATGCTCTTTGGACATACCTAAGTATTTTATAATAAAAAGTCATTTGCTTTAAAATGCTTAGTTAGCAGAGTCAATTTTATGTTAAAACTCCTGCAAATTCTGACAACTGGGAATTAATCTCATTGTATCTCATTACCGTGGTCTAATCAAAACACCAGGATGAGTGAGAAAGACCACTGGCCACTGGATGTAAAAGATAACATCTTTAGGAAGCTCTAATTACAAATATGTAATTAATAAATGTAAAAACCACTTCCTCAAATTAGAAAAGACAAAGCTACTTGAATATTAAAAGAGTCCTCAGATATCAAATGTTCCAAAACAGAAATAAAAGACTCTTAAAGGGCTTCATATTTCAACCACTGTGATCATTCTGAAAAATACAAAATATCACAATAAGGAGAAAATTAAAATAATTTCCAAGTAAGGATTATCGTTAAAAGACTGTTTAAGTAAGGGCTGACCCTTATTATCATCAAATCAATATATTGATATTTTTCACAATCAATAAACCAAAACGGAAAAAGGAAAATAAGAAGAAAAGCATTTACCTCTTCTAAGCTAGGGAGCGAAGAAGAAGATACTGTTCGAGATGACAGTGAATGAAATGGCTCTTGACCAATAGCATGTTGATGGTTTTGTATTTGTACAAAAGGGTTCTGCGGTGGCCTATGAGGCAATGGAGGTAGGCCATAAGGAAAGCCCGGCCCTATTAAGTGATTTTGTTGCAGGTTAGCAAAAGTCCATGCTCCATCAGGTGCCAGGTACTTCAAGGGAGGAGTGGCAAGGTGTTCAGATGGCAACGAGAAGGGTGAGCTGAATATCTGAGGTGGAAGGCGCTGTGGAAATGCTGGGTTGTTGACTACTTCAATGTCTCTGCTGCTGTCATTAAAACTAGAAAAGTGGCTACTGTGGTCTGTATTGGATGGGGGAGATGGGACTGCTGGTGGGCTTCTTGCCTGAACTTGTCTATATTGCAAAAGTCTTGACTGAGGTGGTGGCATTTCAGCTCGTTCTCGAGTTTCACTTTGATCACGGTGAGACAGTTCTCTGATTAAGTCCTGAAACCTACATGAAGACAACAAGATATGAAGAGAAAACTAAGGAAAAATTCCATTACCTTAAGAGCTGAATCAACTACCTATGCAATTTCAACAAACCAAGTCATCACAACCAGAACCAGCATTAATTACAAATGTAAGCATTACCACTCAACAGATGCTGAACTGAAGACACTAAATATACCCAATTACCTAACTGGTACTTCTTTTTCTTTGTATTGAAAACATCTGCCCTTGCCTATATATAACTGATATAATATGATAATATGATAATATTACAAAAGGTCACCGTGTTGGTGGGCCTTATCCAGAAGGAATTAGTAAACACTTTATAGCATTCACATGATGCTAGCCACAAAAACATATTTAGTGTCAAGATCAAACCCTCATAGTATCTGTACATAGTTATAAGGTAGAAGTCTATTGTACTAAAAAAAAATTAACAATAAATTTATAATTTTAAAATTTTAACCATTAATTTACTTTTGTCCTTATTCTTTGTAAGTATATATTGGAGGAAGAAGAAAAAAACACCTCCTATAGAGATGGTATGTTCCTCTTGCAGAAACCACAAAGCGAGAGACAAATTTAACTTACAACCCAGAACAGATCACTCATACCCAGATTTGTGTAAGAGATACTTCTAAATGAATTCTCTATATCTTAGAGTCCATCAAAAGAACTTTGCAGCATGTACAAAGAGAGCCAGGATTCAATTTCTTTGAGACAATATTCCAACTTGAAGCAAACAGGGCTGGTGTCAAGAAAGAAAATATAGGGGCCCGTATTTCAGAGGCTGTTTTCCATGTACTGGAATACCTTGAGAATGTCGTTTCTGCTTCATCTTCAGCACTGCTGGTGAGCTTCCAGTCTGCCCTCACTGGTGGCTGGAGTCCCATGGGCGGCTGAGGAAGATGCTGGAGATGAGGATGGTGGTGTGGGTAAGGAATACCACCCTGACTGAGATAGGCATGGTGCTCATTCCACTGCTGTAGCCGTGCTTGCTGCTGCCTTAATGTTTCCAGAGCTATGCTCCCATGTATACGCTCTGCAGAAATATTTGTGAAAAAATTATTTATACATTTGGGGTTTCAAGTTAATTTTTTCAAAGGTTTTTACAACAACATTTCCTCCACAAAGACAGAGAAATACCTATACTTTAGTTTTGGGAGGAAGTACATAGTTCCTAAATTTGCCAGAAACCAGTTATGATAATGATGAAGCTTCCCTGCTTGCATAATGATATAATGCAACATTAACTGGATGTTTAGTATTATATATCACACTCAGAACCAGATTCTGATCGTTACACTCAGTGGCTGATTTCTGGAGGCATTATTTGAAGAAATTAATCAATCCTGGCCCAAATCAATAATGGAGAACACATGTTATCTTGAGTAAATACTGCACTCAATTTTTCATAGGCAAACTTACCTAAAGCCTCTCCTATAGGTAATCCTGGGGGGTTCTCATCAATGAAGTTATTCAGATGAGAAGGAAGGAGGGGGCCGGGCTGTGCAATGGCTCTCAGAGGACTATGGCCTTCTTGCAGCATGGGAGGGGGCTGCTGCTCAGGAATCACAGTCTCTGCAGGAGGAGACTGTGGTTGATGAGAAACTGCATTATGAAAAAAAGCACTGTTGGGTCCTGCCTGATAGGCAGGAGAAAGTTGAGGAGGTGGCTGCTGGGCCTGCGGATTTAACTGACTTTGCTGCTGGACTACCTGATTTGGTTGCGGTGGCATTTGATTTGGTTGTTCAGGCAAATTATTCTGCTGTTGATTTAACAAGGTGTGCTGCTGTGGAACTGGAAATGGCGGTCGTGGTAGCTGGGGAAGGGGGTGGAAATGACGACTGGGGATTGCATACTGTGCATGGGGAGCAGGAAGAGGAAGATTTATGTGTCTTGGGTTGAGATTATCTTTGCGAGGAAATTTGGTATTGGGATAAACAACACCAGGACGTGATTCAGGACTTCTGTTCTGTGGATTTGATTCCAAATCAACCTAGAAAAAAATAAGAAGCCTTTTTTAACTGTAGAAGATCTGAATTCAGTGGTACTCTTTCCCAACCCTAGCACATCAAAAGGATATGATATATTCTTAGCAGTGCTGAATCAGTCATTAAGATGGGAATATTTTTTAAATTTGGGGGCTGGGGATTTAGCTCAGTGGTTTTGCTGCCTGACGGCAAGAGCAAGAACCTGAGTTCGATCGCTGGTACCAAAAAAAAAATTTTTTAATTAAAAAAGATGGCACAGAAAAAACAGACTATTACATGAGTCATAAGAAAAGACACTGCCATTTTATTAGCATATCTACTTTAATTCCTTCAAGAATATTGTCTTTAATGTCACTTTTTACCTGATAATCATGTATTTCTGACATAAATCAACAAAATGTGTTCCTTGCTTTTTATTGTTTTATACCTAATCTATTTTCTCAAACATATCAATATTAATAAAAAGTTAATTCCAATTTACACAACTTTGAAATGAAAATATAGGTACTGTATCATCTTTGTATAACCAGCTTCATTTCCAATTTTTGCCCTTATTCATTATTGACATTCTTTAACATTTGTTGCGGAACTATCAAGTTACATTGTGCCTGGTGTTGGTGATTTAAAAGCAACAACAAGACTGAGACTATACTCTTTTCAAGAGCTTTCAGCAGGGGTCTGTAAACCATGGCCCCCAACCATACTATTTCCATTCCACTAGATTTTTTTTTTGGTACTGGAGATCAAACTTGGGACCTTGCGCTTGCGAGGCAGGCGGCGCAACCACTGAGCTAAATCCCCGCCCCTCCACTAGATTTTTTTTTTTTTTCTCCACTAGATTTTTGTAAGTAAAATTTTAGATAATATAGCCACTCATTTATTAAATATTATCTATAGCTGCTCTTGCATTACAATGACAGAGTTGAGCAGTTGCAACACAGACTATATGGCCCATGAAACCTAAGATTTATTGTCTGGCCTTTTACAGAAAAAGCTTGTTAACCCCTGGTTTAGAGTCTAGTACAGGATATCAACATGTAAATGTATAACTACAGATACTGTAAGAGGATGTGATATGAGATCCTAGGGCCTGAAGAAATTAAGGAAGGCTTCACAAAGGTGACAGCATTTGAGATGAATCTTACAAAGAGAGCTGTAATATTCTAGAAAGGAAAGACATTTTAGCTGAATGTAACAGTTTACACTGAGGTTAAGAGAGCAGAAAAAGCATTGTGAATTTGGGAAGCATGAAAAGTTTTGTGTGTAAAAAGCTGAAACTTCGCCTGTTTATATGTTAGTTTCCCTTTGTTGGCAAGAAAAAAAGTCCAATTGCATAAGATCCTAAATTATTCAATACTGAGTATAAACACTGATTTTAATCCCATTAAACTGTGGTAAGCTACCAAAGCTTTTAAAAGCAAACAGTGGTGCTGTCCTTCTGAAATGTAAGTTTGATAAGTGGTGATAAGGTGACAAACAAATTATAAGGTGGGAAGAGGAAATTTTTCTTTTCCAGCTCTGATGATGAAGCTGCTGCAACAAACAGTGGAAACCAATCATTTCCTGAGTGCATTTGCACCTCGTATCACCTAGCTCAAATGGACACCATTATATTTGGCCCTTTGAGTCCTTAAGATTACTGGAGATATATCCAATTACCTACAAAAAGTGAGAAGGATGACAGTCTGTCCCAGTCTTTCCAACCGGTTGCCACATCTGCTCTTCAACTGTCTTAGAACCTGATTAATGTTCTTTATAAGCAAACATTTTCCCCTATGAATCTTCCTTTGATCAATGACCAAGTCAACAGTAGTCTGGAATATCCCTCTGTCCAGAAGACACTGGTGCTATGCATGATTTGATCACATCAGGAAGACTGTGTGTAGATGTCAAGGTTATTTGTGGATAGGCTGCAGTTTCAATTGCCTCTATCACTTCTGACTCTGACATAGACAGGAAGCTAGGTCTGTGTCACAGAAATTTAACTCTCGATTAAGCTAGTCTACAATCCTACCATGGGCTAGCTTAATAAAACTACAAAGTCTGAAGGAAACTGTGTCATGTACCCAGTATTCGATTTCCTCTTATCACTCTCTTCTGAATACTGACGCAGAGTCAAAGAGAATGAGGAATTCTTTTATTTAGTCTTCCTGTACCCCAAGACAAAGCATCAGGAAGGAAAGAAAATGAAACATGTCTATAAGGTGGTCTAGTCTTCTAACAGAGAAGATCCATATAACAAATTTAAAAAGAAGGACGCAAGAGATATTTAGCTCTCTTGGCTTTAGCTGCTCTAATAACACCGATTCCTGTGATGGGTTTGTCGCAAGCTGCCTCTGACTACATCTACTACTGGTGTACAACCCTAACAAGTCATTCGTTCTCTCTGTACCCTCCCAACCATGTACCATGGTGATTTTCACTGCACCTCCCCTCTTACTAGCCAGAAAAGGTTCCCCTGCTGCCTCATTCATCCTGTGGCTTCTCCTACAATATGAAATCCCTCAATCTACTTCTACCTGTCAGTCAGAGATGCTTATGGACATAAGTGAACACAGAAAACAGTTGCTCGAAGCTAGGCTGAGGTTGAAGATGCAGATTTGGAAGTCGTTATTAGGGAGCAGGCACTTAAAATCACAGATTTGGCTATATTATAATAAGCAATCATAGACTGTAAAGAAAACTGGGGCAATGACACAACCCTGGAAAACCTTAAACTGGACTAGGGACATACAATGAGGGTGAACAGGAAGTGATATGAGGGACAGGTAGTCAAGGTAGAGAAAGTTGTGAGAAGTAAAAATGTTGTATCAAAGAAACAAAAACAAGTAAGATGGTCAAAGACAGCTTTGGAAAATACTACTAAAAAAAGTGCCAAATACAAAAAGAAGTTCTAAATACCAAAAACTAAAATGAAAAAGACCCAAGTAAGACTACTGTTAAAGTGTGTTTGTAAGATGTGGTCACTTGGAGCTCACCAGTCTCTGTGAAATATTGAGGCCTATTACCAGCCTGTATGGGTTAAAGAGGAAGTAAGAGATGAATTACAGAGATCTTCCAAGTGTTTTTTTTGGGTTTTTGGTGGTATTGGGGATTGAACTCCGGACCTTGTCCTTGTGAGGCGGCAGAACCACTGAGCTAAATCCCTGGCCCAGTCAAAGTGTCTTTTTAAAAATTCTGTCAATCAATATATTTTGTGAGGAACTGGAAGAGAGACTAGTTTTAACAGGAACTTCTCCTCCAGGACTGGTGATAAGGAAGTAAAGATATAGAAAAGGCAAGATATTTACAATGTAAACAAACAGCAAAATCCTGATGGTGATAAGCCTAAGGCAAAGTCACCTGATCATGAGGAGAACAGGAAATAGAAGGTCATCAGATTTGAGAAGAGCCACTTAGAACACTGGGCAAAGGAACTAAGTACATGCAAAAGAAAATGGGCAAGCTCCATGGTTTCATGGAGATTGGAAAAAGTGAATTTCCAGTGGCACTGCTCAACTAGTAGTGTGATTTTTTGTAACTGATTCACAAGAACAAAAGCAGGAAAATAAATAAATAAATAAAATTTAAAAAAATAAATTAAAAAATTTAAAAAGGAACAAAAGCAGGGAAAGTAGATGAACAGAAAGACAAAGAGTTAAATATTTATGCAGTGGGTGCAAGGAGAGAACAAAGTGAGGAACTGGAGGAAGTTAAGTCTTTTCCCTTTGCTGTGACAACACTTCCCATTCTGAGATCATTTTCACTCACATTTGTAGTTCAGTCTTCATTTACTACTTTATCATGGAAAGTCTCTAAATTTCAGTCTTATCACTGAATAACATTACTCGAGAAAAATATTCAGGTCAAGGAAATATCACAGCCAAAGAAACAGTGACAGAAGAAAGTACAACAACCCCCAAATCCCTGTGAAACAATAACTATAAAAGATATGCATAAAAAAGGAGATAATTTTCTTTAAAACATCAAGATTCCAAGATGCCAAATCAGACTAAATCCATTTGAACAAGACTCTCACTAAATGTAAATAGCATACCTGTTTTGGTTCTGTAGGCTTTTTCTCCGGTGTTCGAATTTTATTAATTTCAGGTCCAGGGTTATTTGTATCACTTTTACCTAAGAAAACATGTTAAAATTTTTATAAATCCTTTCTAGTGAATGTGACATTTCAGGTATCTATCCAATATTAGACAGAGAAGCAGAATATTTTAAACATTTTACACTCATTATTACTGATATTTATATTATGCCTTGGGTTTTGCTTTTCAATTTTCAGAGTTGCAGTTTCTCTAGAAGAAAGAAAATTTATAAAGGAAGTAAACCTCACTGACAAAGCAAAGGAATAACCTGGGCCAGGGATTTAGCTCAGTGGCACTGCACCTGCCTCGCAAGCGCAAGGTCCTGAGTTCAATCCCCCGTACCAAAAAAAAAAAAAAGGAGGAATAACCTTAAAAGACCAAACAACCCCCCTAAAAACTGCCCAATCTCCAAGAATTTATAGCCTCATTTTTATTTTATTTTATTTTATTTTATTTTTGGTACTGGAGATTGAACTCGGGTCCTTGTACTTGCGCAGCAGGCGGTGAAACCACTGAGCTAAACCCCCGGCCCTATAGCCTCATTTTTAAAAACTACACGTATCAAAAAACTTGGAATTCTTACTTATTCATAAAGACATGGTTTGTTCACTTACAAATGCAATTAAGCAAAAATCCAATCAATGCCTCAATCTACTTTTAGTAAAGGAATCTAAACTGAATGTAATGCTTTGGATTTTAAATGCACCTCAAAGGGCCCTATATCAAATCAACAGGCTGGTTCCTGGACCATGACACCATTGGGAGGTTGAGAAACTTTCCGAAGATGGGAACTTGGGAAGTTAGGTCACTGGGGGTAAGCCCGTGAAGGGGATACTGGGACCCTGGCTCCTTCCTCTCTTTTGTATTGCTCCCCAGCCTTCAGGTGAACAGACCTCCTTTGTCAAATGCTTAGGCCAGAATGTGTTACTGTACCACTACAACTGGTCCATGCCAAGGAAGCATGGACTGAAACCTCTGAAACAATGAGCCAAAATAAATCTTTTCTCCTTATGTTATTTAACTCAGGTATTTTGTCACAGTGAAGGAAAGCTAATAAACCGAATAAAGATATTCTGAAAGAAATTATGTTAATACTGTTTAAAAGTACTAGCAAACTAAATATAAGTAGGTTATTAATAAAGGTAGTAAAAATTTTTTTTTTTTTGGTACCGGGGATCAAACTCGGGTCCTTGTGCCTGCACAGCAGGCGGCAAAACCACTGAGCTAAATCCCTGGCCTAAAGGTAGTAAAATTAAGTATTAAAAGGGCAAAATTATGGTATAGCTTGGTGGCAGAGCACTTGCCTGGCATATGCAAGGTCCTGGGTTCTATCCCCAGCACCATGAAACAAAAACAAACAAAAAAGCACAATTACAATAGACTTGAAAATTTCATACATGTGAAAAACTTTTAATCTACAAGAATTAACGGTTTAATGTTTTTAAATTCCTTGAAACAATCCTTTTTGGTTTTTGTGCAAAAACATTCTTTCAGTAATGCCACCAGAACTGCAAAATGAATTATTATGCTAGAACAGCTTTACCACTAAACTTCAAGAAATGGGAGCTACAATGTCAGATGAAAAAACACTGGGTAGAATCAGCAGATTAGACACTACAAAAGAAAAACTTGGGAAAAAAAGTTGAAGAAAAAAATGAAAAACATATCCATGAACTTTGAGAATGATTAAGCATACTAATATATGGTTAATTGGAATCTCCAAAGAAGAGGAGAAAGAGTCACACACACACACACAATGTATCTCAAGACACAAAGGCTGAAAATTTCTAAATTTCATGAAAGGTAAAAAAACAAAAGATCCAAAAAGTTCAACAAACCCCAAGCACAAGAAACATGAAGAAAACTCCACAAAGGCATATCATAAGCTAAAACTAGTATTAAAAAAATATTTAAAGCAGCAAGAGAAACAAAGAAAAAAACAACATAAAGAAAACATAAAAACAAAGATCAGAACAACCTCAGATTTCTCACTGAAAATAAGGCAAGAGAGAAAACAGGAGGATATTGTTAAAATACTGCATAATACTGCCACCCAAGAACTCCATACTGGGAAAAACTCTAAAAAGTAAGAATGAAATAAGGCTATTTTCAGATAAATAAATGCTGAAAAAAGTTCATCATCAGCAGACTTGAAATATAAAGCATATACCAGTACAAAAAAGGAAGAGGAGGAGGAGGAGGAGGAAATCATCATCATCATCTCCCTTCAGGTACAATGAAAACGTTCTCAGATGGAGACATATATACACAGCAAAAACGATTCAAATGATAACTACATGGATAAATATGTAAGGTTATTTTTTCTTATTTTGAAAAATTTTAAAGAGAGAGTTGACTGTTTAACACTTAAAAATATGTAAAAGGATAATAGTAGCATAAAAGCCAAGAGAAAAAAATGAAATGTTGTAAGGTTCTTTTTCTGTGCATGAAGTAGTAAAATACAAATTGGGAAGCAGACTGTAAGATACATACTATAAATCCTAAAGCAATGACTGAAATACTACTAACAACATTATAACTCATAAGCCAACAAAGGAGATAAAATGGAATCTAAAAAGTATTAATCCAAAAGAGAGCAAAATAAGAAGAGAAAGGGAACAAAATCTTGGCAAATTAAAAAGAACCAAAGGGCTGGGGATTTAGCTCAGTGGTTTCGCCACCTGCTGTGCAAGAACAAGAACTCAAGTTCAATCTCCGGTGCCAAAAAAAAAAACAAAAAGAAGCACCAAGATGATAGAATTAAACCTAACTATATCAACAATCACATTAAATGTAAATGGCATAATAACAGATTGTCACACTGAATTTTTAAAGAATCAAGAGCCAATGCTATCTAACAGAAACATACTTTTCTTCCTGGGATTCAACCTAGGGCCTGTGCATGCTAAGCACATGCCTTACCACTGAGGTACATACCTGCCCCTAAAAAATATTAAATCTAAAGGCACAAATAGATTGGAAGCAAAAGGTCAAAAAAGATATTCCATGCTACCACTAGTCCAAAAAAGGCTGAAGTTGACTACACTAATTTAAGCAAAGTAGATCTCAGACCAAAGAATATTACCAGGGACAAAGAAGGTCATTCCATAATGATATCTCTCTCTCTCTCTCTCTCTCCTATTCATAGCCTAGAAAATTCAATATTATTAAGATACCTATTCTCTCAAACATCGACATAAAGGCTTACATAATCCCAATAAAGAGCTAAGATGGCTTTTTTTAAAATGGAAACTGACAAGCTGATTCTAAAATGTACATGAAATTTGAAAAATATCTGGAATAGACAATTTAAAAAAAAATAATATTGAAGGACTTATACTACCTGTTTTCCTGACTTTTATAAACCCATAGTAATCAAGACAGAATATTTGGTATGAACATTAAAACATATGCACCAATAGAAGAAAACAGAGTGCAAGTATATAGTTAGTTGATTTTCAACAAAAGCATTAAGGCAGTTCAATAAGGGAAGGACAGATTTCAATAAATCATGTTGGAACAAATGACCATACACACGCAAAACTAAAACAACAACAACAAATCAATTCTTGCCAGGGATTTAGCTCAGTGGTTTCGCTGCCTGCTGTGCAAGCACAAGGACCCGAGTTCGATCCCCAGTACCCCCCCGCCAAAAGTCAATTCTTAGGCCATATACAAAATTTAATTCAAAATGGACCTAACGTAAAAGCTAAAACTATTAAGACTTCTTGGCGAAAATAAAAGAATTCATTTGTGACCCTGGGTTAGACAAAAAATCTTTAGTCACAACATCAAAACATAATTCATAGAAGAATAAATGGATAAACTAGATTTCATTAAAAAATAAAAGAAAAAGTTCTGTTCTTTGAAAGATACTAACATACCTGGAAATAAGCACAATGAAAAGATAAGTCAATATCATTAGTCACTAAGGATATGCAAATGAACACTACTATAACATGCTATCAGATACTCACTAGAAGGATAAAGTTAAAAAGAATATCAAATGCTGGTGAGAATGTGGGACAGTGGGAAATCTCATACATTACTAGTAGAAATGAAAAACAATTCAGCACTTTGGAAAATAGTACCACAGTTTTTTAATAAAGTTAAATATGTATTTACAATATGTCTAGCAATCTTGTAGGTATTTACTAAAGAAAAATGAAAATGTATGTTTATGGCAGCTTTATTCATAAATGTCAAAAATTAAATAGGGCACTTGCCTACTACACAAGAAGCCCTGGGTAGGCAAGTAAAACTAAAGAAAAAATTGAAATAAAACTGAACACATTGTGGTGCATCCTCATAATGGAATACTTATCAGCAGTAAAAAGGAACAAACAATTGATAAATACAACCTGATAGAATATCAAAAGTATTAAATAAACAAGGCCAGATTTTAAAAACTATATACTATATGATTACATTTACCTGACATATTAAAGGAAAGACAAAAGTCAACATTAGTGGTTACTTAGGAATAGGTTAGAGGTTGGGACTGTCTACAAAGGGACACAAGGACACTTCTGGAGTTGATGCAAGTATCCCATATTTTGATTTTGGCAGTAGTTAACAAATCTATTTTTTTGTTGTTGTTTTGTTTTGTTTTGTTTTTGAGTTTGGATGCATTTCAAATTCTTTTTTAAAATTTTACTGGTACATTTAGGATATACATAATGGTAATATTCATCATGGGGAATTTGTACCTGTACATGATACATCTTTTTTTTTTTTTTTGGTACCAGAGATTGAACTCGGGACCTCACGCTTGTGAGGCAGGCGCTGGAACCACTGAGCTAAATCCCCGGCCATGTACATGATATATCTTGCTGCTTCTTTTTTTTCCCATTCTCGTCCCTTCAACCCCTTTCCGCTCTTTATTTACAAAAGTCATTTCTATTTTTTCCTTTGTTAAAACTCATCAAACTGTACATTTTAAAAAGGTAAATTTTACTGCAATAAGTTATTTCATAAACTTAAAAAAAGCTTTAAAAAGCAATTGGTAATTTTTCTTATTTGTAATTCTAACAGATTTGCATAAGAAGTAACTACTTTATATCAACTATCCCACAAGAACACTAATGCTCAGAATATCACAAGAATATTGTGGGTTATCAAAAGTGTTTAACAGGAGAGGATGTTCTATTTCATCTTTAAATGACTACTACTTAAAAGTCTCTAAATATTAAAATTTAATATATCTTAGGAAATTTGTGAAATCAATTAAGTGGGAAGACTTAATCTAAAGAACCCTCTAAAATAACATGCAAAGCTTTTACCTGCATACTTATTTGTGTCACCTGGAGAGAGTAACCTTAGTTTTTTATATCAGGTTCAACAGGTCTAGAATCCACATTTAACAATCATACTGCAGACAGAACTCTGCATGTCACCAATTTGGGAATAGAAGTAAAGTATAGCAACCTACCATTTCGATTTTGCTCATGTTGATCCTTCTCAGGATGCTGATTCTGTGGCTGCCCTATGCTGACAGGTGGGTGATGTCCAAGCCCATAAGGTATAGGAGACCCCCGTCCATGTGTCTGTAAGAGGTTCATATTGTAGGCCATTGCTGCCTGATGTGTAATAATTCGAGGATCAACTGCAAACCTACCCTGGTATCCTGTCCATGGTACCTAGGTTATTATAAGAAATAAAATGACTGTGTTAACTATATTTTAAAATGCAAACTGTTACAGTGCTGTTAATTAGAAAAAAGCAAACACACACAGATGATTAATTTTATCAAAATGAGTAACTACATGATTGATATTACTTAGTAGTAACCATTGGTAGAATCATCGTAATGTCTTAAACTGGCCAAAAGTGGCTCCCTGAATCATTAGCATGTACGGGAAAATGGTTCATTTTTCAGATTAGGTAGAAATTGAGGACTTAAAGTTGATAATTATTCCTTAAGGTAATATGTCATGTTGTATTTTTGAATCACTTCCTCACAAAAAGAATGTATATAAGTCACACATTACCATGAAAGTTATCTATTTAGGTCATAACTCCATAGTTAGGTAGTTTAATAGACTGAATAAGAGAACAGGGTAAAACTAAGAAAGAATTTAGTCTAAGAAGTCTTAGTTAAAAAAATGTATGTTCCAACTTTATAAGAATAACCAAATTGGGCCAGGTAAATCCCCTCAAGCGCAAGGTCCTGAGTTCGATCTCTAACACCAAAAAAAAAAGAAAAAGAATAACCAAATCATTTAATGATCAATTATTGTAGGTAAAATTCAAACAGGTCATTACTTTTGATAACTCTAATTTAAAATATAGAAATAGAAAACTTGCTCCAGTGTGTCTAGATATATAATCTCTGCATATTAACATAAAAGGCATAAACGCAATGACATCTATAAACAACCACCCCTATTATTTTAGTATAAGCGTCTGATGCAGACTCTTAGAAATTTTATATAACAAAAGTCTTTTTGAACTAGTAAAGTGAAACTCAAATCCTAAGAGACTTACTATTTAAAGCAAATGATGTATAATGTTGCCAGGCTGTCTAGGAAGAAATAATGCAGGTAAAAGTCTAGATTCTATGGGGAGTGGGCATGAATTACATATTTTTTACTGATAATCACTTTCCTTGGCTATGATTGTGAACTATCAGGTGAACATGGCTAAAAAATATTTGCAAGTAAACATTTTTTTCCTCTTTTAGGGTATAGGCAGGGTTGCCAAAGATCTCTGACCATGATCAGCTCTGTCTGAAATTACAGTACTTTACTTAAATGAAAGAAATTATTTCCTAGGCTAAAACTCCTCCTTTTAGAAATATTCACATATCTGAAAATTGTAAAAATTTGCACAATATTTAAAAACTTTAAAGGAAATACAAATGGGTTTTATACAAGATCCAAGTCCTCTAAAAATATGGTCTGAGAAAGGATTCAGTAATGTATTTAAGTATCTTAGTAAGGTTTCATAAGGCATGAAATTTCCCAGACAAATTCAGATCCAAGAGAACTAGACTAATCCAAGCCTTTCTGCCTCCTCCAACCATCTCTTAGGAAAAGGTCTTGACTTATATAAAATAAAAAACAAAAGGCAAAATAAAAACATCACTTTACAAAACAAGAAACCAATTTACTAGCTGTTAATTTTTTAACCCAATTTTTCTCAGAAAACAAACATTTTAAAAGAATACTAAGACTTCTAAATCAAGCGTCCAATTTACAGATTTCTTCATAGTCACCAATAATCAAGAAGCAAATTGCAAGCAACAACATACATTTCTTTGGTCATTTCAAAATTTAACTTTTAAAGATAATATTTACTTTAAAAGAAGCTTATGGACATTGAAAAGTTGAAGAAAAAAAAGGAGACTGGGGGTTGGGAGTGTAGCTCAGTGATAGAGCACTTGCCTAGCAAGCATGGCCCTTCTGCCTCTGCAAAAGGTTTGTAGCCGACCATCAGGGATTGTGACTAATTTAGTGAAGCCTACTTACTTCACAGAAAGTATTTCAATAGGAAGTATTTCAAACATCCACTTACAGGTAAAGGCACCGACATAACTACATTCCCTCCATAGACAGCAGGTACATAGAGAATACTTGTCCCAGTGTGAGGATCAATTCTCTGAACAGGGCTTGGAGATTTTCCCAAATTTGGGTGAGGTCCAAGAGGGGGTGGAGGAGTATATGCTCTAATAGGATTGCCAATAAGTACAGAAGGATTGGGCTGAACTGAAAAACAGACAGAAAAAGAACACACTCAATCACTGTTCAATTCACCTACACAAAAATATATCCAACAACAAAATATATTTTTTGGGTTTGTCACATAATAGAGTAAAAGAATTATCAATGTGGAAGAATAAAGCATATTTAAAAAGTAACCACTTTATAATGTCCTCAAAATTAACTTGAGCTGACTTAGAAAGTACTCCTTTTATAAACTAGTATAATTATAGCTTCTGAGGGGCCAGAGATATGATCATAAAGAGGGAAAACCATGTGTGCACATAGGCTTTCAGTAAATAGTTCCCTCAGACCAAGGAAACATGATTCTTCAGAATAAAGTTTTGACTTGCAGTTGTAACACAGCCACATATAAAATGAATGTTAAGCAATTATTACTTTAAAAGCATAATTCTGTAACATTTAAAATCATTTAAATAAACTTGACCTTGAAATCAGTATGACCCTACATTTGTAGGACAGAAATATTTTCTTAATATTTATGTTGCATAAAAGGCTTAAATGTTTTTCCTCGGAACTTCTGCACTTACCATATGCTGGTACCTACAAACTGTCCCCTTTTCAGGAATAACCTATCAACTTACTGACATTTTAAAAGAATAATTAACTGAGGTTCCATAAACTGTGTTTATGTGTGCACATAAGAGAAAGGAGAGACAGAGAGAAAGAGGCTGAGAGAGACAGACATCTATTTCTCATTGTGAAATTTGGGGTAAATCTCTTTATCATAAAGGTAAGTTTTCATAAGGCTTATTTTTCCACTTACCAATTCCATCATTCTGGAAGTGATCATTTGGGGTATGATGGAGGCTTTTCCCCTTTAAAGAAAAAAACCAAAAGCATAATAATTTAAATATGTTTAACAGAAAACAAAAACTCTTTTCTTAACTGTATGTCAATTAAATACCAACTAAGATTTAAAAACCTTGAGTAGATAATCCATGACTTTTGGGCATCTTTGAGCCAGCTTTCTTTTTAAAGCTGAGAACATGGCCATCTCAAATAATGTTGCTGGGCCTCCAGAATTCCTGTTTTAAATTAAGGGTATCTCAAATTCCTTTTTTAATAAATTGTTTTGTTTTTTGTTTTCCGGTACTGGGGATCAAACACAAGACCTTGTGCTTGTGAGGCAGTCGCAGCACCACTGAGCTAAATCCCTGGCCCCATTAATGAATTGTTTTAATAAAAAGAAATAAGAAATCAACACACTTGAAATTTAAATTCTATTCCTTTGAGCTTCTCTATAAGTTTCCTAAGAATTAAATGACAAAACATAAAAGTTGTTATTCAAGGGAAAAATTTCAGTCTCCTATTCTTGAAGATGAGAACCTTTAAAACAGCAATAGGAATTATAAACATGGTTTGAGATTAATAATATTTTGAGTGTGATTCATAGTATTTTAGCCCAGGTGTGGTGGTGCATGCCTGTAATCCCAGTACTCAGGAGACTAAGGCAGGAGGATCATCCTGAGTTTGAGGGCAGCCTGGGCTACATGGTGAGTTCAAGGCCAGCCTGAAATACACAGCAAGTCTCTGTTTCAAAAAAAACAACAAAAAAAAGTATCTTAAAGTATAAGATTTTCTAAAGGAACAAGAAATAGGCACTGTCATAAATTACTTGAGAGAGGGCTGGGGATTTAGCTCAGTGGTTATGTTGACTGCCTTGCAAGCACAAGGTCCCGAGTTGGATCCCCGGTACCCAAAAATAATAATAATAATAAATAAATAAATTACTCGAGAGAGAATCTAGCTAATTACTAGACAGCAATTTGGCATATATATCAGAAGTATTAATAATGTACATTACTTTAATCCTGTAATTATATTTCCAGGAATTTTTTTTTTTGGTACCAGGGATTGAACTCAGGTCCTTGCGATTGATTGCACAGCAGGCGGAGAAACCACTGAGCTAAATCCCAGGGCCCATTTCCAGGAATTTATCCAAATGAAATAATCATTGATTTGGGCACTGATGTTCTTCAAGCCATCATTTATATGTGTGATAAATGTTAACAATCTAAATGTCCATCAATGGAGGGCTTATTAAATAAGTAATGGCAGATTCATATAATGATATATTAGTTTACCATTAAAAATGATATTTGAGTGGAAATAATTTTTGGCAATGTCTCTGAAATTATGCATTAAGACAAAAAAACTAACTTGCTATTCCCACTGGCTAAATGTAACTAACACACATCAAGTCAACTGTGGCAAAGTGACACATTATGCAACTTGCCTCTAGGTATAAACAAAGTTTGTTTGTATTGAACATCTGAAAACTAAAGAGGGGATAATGTCTATAGGAGGAAGAAAATTCATTCTTGACCAAAGCAAAAATACAGTGATGCTCCATTTATCAACTTATCTGTCAGGGATATTAAATATTCAGATCAGCAATAAACATGGGAGGTTGTATGGTCAGCTGGTTAGTCATGGATGGGATATCTAGACCTAACTCTTAAAATGTGCGAAAAAAGGGCCAACAGATAATCATAGCTGATCCATTAATCAGAAGAAAAAGAATGTTTACAGTGACTGACACCAACTATAAAAAATGAAACTTCTGAGGAATATAGAAGTGATAAGGAGAAAAGTGAAAAGGAGCAAATGACAAACACTGAGAAGGCAGAGGTAGAGGTAAGATCAGAACCATAAGCAATTAGAAGTGACAACAAGAGCAATCAGTATCACATACACTGACAGATGAAAGGGAAGCCAGGGACACCACAGATAAGATAGTTCCAGGAGGGTAATAAACCACTTAGATTTCTTAGCCATCAAACCTATCACTGTAGCTTGCTAATGACCTATCAGCCAGGGACAACTGCAAAGAGAAAGAGCAGCAACTTAAGTCACATGTGGTAGGCAGAATGGTGCCTCCAAAGATCTCCACACTCTCATCCCTGGGTTCTGTGGATATGTTATACTACATGGCAAAAGGAATTCTGCAGATCTAGTTGAAGCTGTGATCTCATATTATTCTAGATTATCCTAGATTATCTGGGTGGACTCAACCTAGTCACCTGTGCCTTAAATGCAGGGAATTTTCACTGGCTGGAGTCAGAGATGCAGCAGAGGAGGAGGTAAGGAGATGTGATAGAGAGGAGTTAGAGAGATACTGAACAAAGGGATTCAATGCACACTGCTAGCTCTGAGATGTTGGAGACAACTCTGAGAACTGGTGAGAGGCTTCTACAAGCTAAGTATCACATCCAGAAGCAGGGACATTAGTCCTACAATCACAAGGAACTGAATTCTGGCATCAACCAACAACTTGAAAGCAGATTCTTTCCAGAGCCTCTAGGTAAGAGACAAGTCAGTCAGCACTTTGATCAATCTTGCGGGAGCTGCAGGAAAGAAACCAAGCAAGAGAAACCTGACATCTGACTTACAGAACCTTGAGATAAATTTGTGTTGTTTTAAGTTGCTATGTTTGTGATAATTTGTTATAGCACCACTAATACAGTTAACCATAGTCTAGGGCAGTGGTGGTGAACCCATGGCACACATGCTGCAGCAGGCTGTTTGTACCACTGAAAGCTTTAAAGTCTGGTGTAGGAGCAATGCCGAACATTTTAAAGCTTTCACTGATACAAACAGCCTGCTGCAGCATGCTTGCCATAAGTTTGCCACCACTACCCTAGACTATGAAGGCGGAGGCACGTTAGACAATATACACCAGCATTCTGGGCACTGTATAGTATACTAAATGTAAAGACAAATTGAGGTCTATCCCATAAAAAGGCAGTGGCATGTCTACAAGCACAATTCAGCACTACATAGTTCAATACATTACACAATTATCTAGCATATTTTGACTCAGTGGTAACTGTAGGAAAGAAATTTACTTGGTCTACACGGAATACAATGTTTGGTAGCTTATAAATAAAATAAGAATACAGCAGTAAGCCAGAGTTAGCTACTATGCCCAAAAGTCATTCCAGGGCCAAGGATTTAGTTCAGTGGGACTGCGCCTTACAAGCACAAGGTTCTGGGTTCAATCCCCAGTACCAAAAAAAAAGTCATTCCATAATAATTATTTCAAGCTAATTTCATTCTGATAATAAATCTCAGAAAGTATTCTTACCTTTGGTAGAATGCTAATACCACCATGTTTAGAAGCAAATATAGCTCAAATCTTCTACTGTTTATAAACAAATGTAATTATATTACCTACTCTTTTTTTTTTTAGTTACTGGAGATTGAACCCAGGACCTTCATCGTGTGTTACATTCCTGACCCTTTTTATTTTATTTTTATTTACTTTGAATTTGAATCTAAGTTGCTAAGTTGTCCAGGATGGGCTCAAACTCCCTATCCTCCTGCTTCAGCCTCTCGGAGCTCTGTGATTATGGGATGCATTACCACACTTGACTGTTATCTACCATTTATTCACTTAAATATTTACTTCTTCAGCACTTGTTCTTTTCCATTTATTCATTCATCAAATGTTTTCTGAGGGCCCACCATATGTTCAAGTTGGCTGGTCACCAACACTCAGATAAACAAGATTGACATTTTCTTATGACTAGACAGTAAGTCATAACATTAGCAGCTAGATATAAAAAACAATTAAACCTTATAAAATGATGATACAGTCTTTAAAGGATCTGGATCTGTTTCTGAATATTATCTATCTCCTGAAGTGTTTACAATGTGTGCAAATGAAACTGGTTCGTTTTAGTAAGGCTTCTGAAAACTATTCCCAGCAAGTGCCCTAGAAGGAAGCCAGACAAGGACAGGTAGAATGTGAATTCTTCAGGCTCCTATGAAACACATCCTTTGCTGTAATTGATGCTTGCAGAAGGTAAAGCAATGAAGGGCTAGCAAGGACCACCTGCTCCCCGATCCCTTAATATTTTGTACCTCAGCTAAATCTTAGAACTGAAGTCTTAGTGAAGACAATAAAGTTTTTTGACTGCTGGACAAACAGGGGTGCATCTTGTTGTCAAACTGAACCCAAAGAAAGGTAGTCTTAAGGGTATTTTAACCATTATACAATCTTTTGATGATTTTATTTACATTAAATCTTATTGGAATTTTAAATTCTATTCTAACATTAAAGATACTAATTTTAATATTTCTTATAGGCAGAAGTGTTAAAATTAAGGAAATTTGAAAAAAATGAAATGGGTCAGTATCACATTTGCAGAAACATCAACCTTTTCTACTCATGAAATAAATCCTCTTTCATCAAGACTCTAGCACATGAAATAAAATAACTGGGATCTGTTTCAAAATTATCCGGTGTGTATATTTGGTGGAGATGGGATGGGAGAAGCAGGACATACATGAAAAAAAGATTAAGTTGACAATGTGTAATAGAGGATTGATTCATTACACTATTCTCTCTACTTTAAAAATTTTTCACAATATAAGGTTAAATTTTAAGACTCCAGAATAAATAATAAATCCAAACCTCAGAAAAACAATTTTATAGAAGTAAAATTCTGGAGGGAGGAGGGAGATATGGTCATAAAGATAACCTATGGCTCCCTATACCTTATTTATGCAAAATTATTATTTATGTAACATATATAAATAATTTTAAACAACCAGGTATATAAATAGTGGTGAACTGATGCTATAGGAAATAACAGAGAACATCTATGGTAAAGATAATTTTTTTTTTAAGTTTAGGATAAATTTGGGGAGAGGGTTTGCTTCCACCTTTATACAACTTTCACTGTGAAAGAAAGGAGCCATACTACATTCTACTGGGCATGCTATAACCTTTCTTCACTTATCAGGTACTTACTGAGTACCCACTATGTGCAGTGAGTGGGGCTAGGCACTAGGAGTCATCAAAAGCATACAGGATAAGATCTTTTGTCTTCAGAAGTTTATGATTTGAGAGAACCAAGTCAACTTAATATGTATTCTTCACTGTTAAAACAAGATAAAACTGCAGTCTTCCTTAACGTCAATACACACTTGGCACAATGCCTTGAATCTACCTTCATCTATAGTACATTAATTGATGCTTATACTGCTCAGTTAAGTACTTTATTGCAGTTACTCTACAGTATTGAAGAATGTGCAAAGGTGTATAATTATTTTATAACACATGATTTTATTTTAAATTTTAAAAAATCAGGTTAAAAAAAGTTTCTGCCTCGGTTCTATTCTCATAAACCCTAAGCCACTTGCTGCCCCCTGTAGACATGTCCCCTGTTCTTTCTCTCTTTCTTTTTTTTGAAACAGGGTCTCGCTTTGTAGTTTAGGCTGGCAATGAACTCACTATGTAGCCCAGGCTGGCCTTTAACTCACAGCGATCCTCCTGCCTCTGCCTCCCAAGTGCTGGGATCACAGGCGTGCACCACCACGCCCGGCTCCCGTTTTTTCATATCTCTCATCTTTTATAAAAGCTTGCTGCAGTTTGAATCTGGAATCCAAACCCCCACATGTTAAAGGCTTAGTTCCCAGCTTGACATCCCTGGGAGATGACAGACTTAGGTTACTTTTTCATTGCTGAGACAAAATACCTGACACCCAAAGTGAAAGGAGGAAAGGTTTATTTGGCCCACAGTTTGGAGAGGTTTCAGTTCATAATTGGCTGGCTTCAAGGGAGGGTGGCATGGAAGAGGGGCAATGCAGAAGAGAAGACAGCAAGGTAGCAAGCAACAAGTGACAAGCAATGACCCTCTTTCTCTCCCTTGTATCCTATCCAAGATATCCACCCTTAGAGTGGGTAGCACTCACACCCAAGGTGCGACAGCTTTAATCCTAGCATCACACCTTGAATCAATCCCAGCATCACATTCTTGATCCCAGCATCACACACCCTAGATCTAGCCACCTCCAAAAACCCCCATCCATGAGCACTTGAGGTTCTGGGGGAACATCTAGATACAAGCCATAACACAGACCCTTTGAGAAGTAGGGTTTGGGACTGGCGGTGTAGCTTAGTGGTAAAGTGCTTGTCTAGCCTGAAACACAGGGTGATCTCCAACAGATAATGATAACAACAACAATAATAAAAAGGCCTGGTGAGAGGTCTTCAGGTCATTGAGGACATGCCCTTTGGAGGAGACTGGGGACCCAGCCTCTTCCTCTTTATTTCTCTTTTACTCCCCAGCCAGGAGGTATGCAGTTTTGATTTGCCACATATTCCTACCATGATGACCAGCTGCAGGCCCAGAGCAACCAGGTCAACTGATCACAGCCTGAAATCTCTAACACTGAAGGCCAAAATAAACTTTTTCTCTTCATAAGTTGATTATCTCAAACATCTGTTATAGTAACAAAAGCTAACACAAAACTCTTTCTTAAACTCATGCTTAGAAATTATGACAAACCAGGTACTGCTCTAAGGATAGAGGCCATAGCAGAAAATAATACAGGTGGAAATCTCTGTCATACATGAGCTTATATTCTTGGAGGTTTTATATACAGAGTTGGCAAAAAAAAAAAATGTATACACACTTCAGCAGTTTGCCATATGAATAAACATCTGGAAGCTAATGGCCACCACTTTGAGCACCTCTTGTAATTGTAGAAGCCAAAAGTAACTTGTATTAATCTCATGATAAATTTAGTATTAAAATATTTATACAAGTTTTTCTTTTCCTGATGTACACATTTTTTGGTGGACTCTGTATACATTTCCCCCACAATGTCTCACTATCTCTAGCCACCCAATCAATTCATAAACATAACTTCTGTGATAGAAATAAAATTCCCTAAATCTATTTCTGACCATCATTCCTCTATCTCCTCCAACCACTACCACAAAAGGACTGAGGGGCTAATTTGCTTATCTATGCCTCTACAGCACCTGTGATAACATCTGGCACATAGAAGTTCATTTATGCAGAATTTTAATCCTCTAATAATGCCAAATCACAAAGCATTACTGCACATTCAGTATAGTTTTATTAACCTAAGAATATATAATACTGTATTAGCTCAGGAAGTAGTTCTCAGGCTAATATCTGGCTAAAAGACTTTCAAAACACATCATAGCCAGGCGTGGGGGCACACATCTATAATCTCAGCACTTCGGAGGCTGAGGCAAGAGGATTGCCGAGAGTTTGACGCAAGCCTGGGCTACATAGTAAGCTCAAGGATAGCCTGAACTATACAGCAAGACCCTGCCTCAAAAAAGAAAAAGAACGTTCATTATTGCTTACATATTACGTGTATTAAAGCTCTACATTTACATGCTCTTTTTAATTCATGTTAATTAAGTTTGGGGGGGTGGGGTGTTGAAACAAGGTCTTGCTATGTAGCTCAGGCTGGCCTTAAACTCACTATGTAGTCCAGGCTGGCCTCAAACTACTGTCAATCCTCCTGCCTCAGCCTCCTGAGTGCTGGGATTACAGGCAGGCACCACCACACCCAGCAATGTTAATAAGTTTAATACCATGCCGAGGACTATAAATGTACAAAAACACAAGCCAATACAATACATGCCATTCTCAGAGCCTTCTTTTCAGGATTCTAAGTTCAAGAAATATTTCCAGCACTCTAGCAAATAAGCTATCTGCCCAAAATAGCTATGGCTCAAAAGTGGAAACAGCCTTGACTCACCCACCTCCTTACCCTGACTGGACTCCTCTATGTAATAAAAATGAGGCAAAAACCAACCCATCTTCAAGAAATTGGTCAAATTTTCTCACTGTGTCAAATAACACTCAAAATTAGTCAGTCATTAGGCCCTGGATTGAGCTCAGTGGCACCTCACCTGCTTTGCAAGCGCAAAGTCCTGAGTTCAATCCCAGATACCAAAAAAAAAAAAGTCAAGAATTATTTTCTTTATACAAGTATTGTGACTATGACATAACCCTTATAAATAACATGTTGTGAGGACATGCTTTTGAAATGTGTGACAATCTTTTCTTTTTTTTGGTACCAGGGATCAAACTCTGGTCCTTGCACTTGCACAGCAGACGGCGAAACCACTGAGCTAAATCCCTGGCCCTGTGTAACAATCTTTTAAACTGCATGTTTCCTCACATCTTAGCTGACAGACACAACAGTCTGTCAGTAGAGAAGACTGGAAAGTTACATTGTACAAAAGTTATCAGAAGTTTTTAAGTACTTAAAACTTTTTGAGGATGATTATGACATTAAGCATGGCTAAATGTCACACTGTATTTTCACTTATATGTCCCAATATAGACAAGTTCCTTGCAGAAACTGCTGGCCACCAAATGTAATCTTCAATTTCAATACTTAAAGTGACTCAGGGCACAATTATACCTCTACTACACTGTTCTCACCCTTTAACTTCTTCACAGTGGAGGCTTTACCTTGGGTGGTGATTGCTGCTGTTTGTTGCTATTTCCTGAATGCTGCAGTCTTAGAGCCCGGGGGATAAATTCAGGAGCCAGTGGATTCAACACATATGTCTTCTTTAGTTCTAAAGCCTCTAACTGAGCCTTGATCTGGTCAAATGTGATCCCATGTAGGCTGTTATTTTCATGACAAAAAGTGATAAACCGCTCCCAAAACTTCCTACAGAAAACATTTACAAGATTGGGTTACAATTTCAGTGGATGAGATCACAGAAATGAAAATAAGTAACCAAAGATAATTTCAAAATCAATACCCCACCAAGGCCCAAACTCTAAAGTCCAATAGTTTTCTATGATTTAAATACAATCTTTTGATCAAATCACAAGATTTCAGAAGGTGGATACTCAAACTAATCATGACAAGTAGTATGATACATACAAAACCAGCTCACAAGTAATTTTGACTCCTCAATGCAAGTAACATGCTCAATGCTTGGCTTGCCAACACTAATGTAGAATGTTTCTTGTTATTTACAAAAATTTCAAAACTTATAGTAACTCACTTTATAGAAAAATTTGTACTTCTAGGCATACTTACACATACATACGTGTCTATACATAGTCATGTGCCATATAATGATGTTTCAGTCAACAACAGATTGAATATATAACTGGTTCCATAAAATGATACCATTTAGTGGCATCATAACTTCGTTTGTATAAATAAATATACACTATAATGGTCACAATGAAAATCATCTAGCAATACCTTTCTCAGAATGTACTACTGCAGAATGACTGCACACACATAATATGATTATACGTAATCATATATATGTATAAAATCTTATATATGTAAACACACACACACACACACACATATGGATGACATAGGGTCAAAGTAGCTTGTTGCTGAATGACTAAGAAAAGCCAATTCAGAATAGAAATTTGAAAAAAAAGCAGATAATCCTCACGAGAATTCTTAAAAAAAACCCAACTACTCCTACCGTATTTTTCTCTTAACTAATGCGTGTCATAAGCACATTATATAACTAAATTATAAGAATAAATTATAGAAAATACATTAAGTTGGAATACTAATTTTAGTGTTGATTATTCATTTCCTAATCAAAGTAATAAATGCTAAAGGAAAAAAATACATTCAAGATGTTGCAGTTATATATTGCCATTGTTTAAAATCTGAAAATTGATCTCCAACTTAAAATATTAAATACATATTGTGAAAGACAATACTTGAAGTTTTAAAATTTTAAATGACTAGTATAAATATGCATACCTATGTTTAATATGAGGTTCAATAATATTTACTATGATATAAAAGATATGTGACATGGTTTCTTCCTAAGTTGATATCCTATGTTCAAGTTGAGAACAGATAATCAAGATGACTTCAAGAACCACAAATGAAAAGGTTTATGTTATAAAACTTAGTATATGAATGGGAATTGGGTTATTTATATACTCATAGAACTCTACAGAGTTTAATTCTGAACTATGTTTCTCTTACATATGCCTTCTAATTTTTTAAAGATGAGTTTAAGAAACAAGTCCAGAAAAAAAATTTAGGCCGACATGTAAACAAAAGGAAAAGTAAACATACCATAAAATATTAAATATGTTTCTAACCATAAGTCATAAAGATGAACAAGATAATTACTAAGAATACACGCTGAAAAGCTGTACTTCATTTTTATTCTTAAGATCCCACTGGTCCCGAGTACTGTCAATAAATTAATTAAAAACCCTCTGAAAAAAAATCAAAGTCTTTTTTTTCTTCACAGTAACTTGAAAAAGTATTCTAAGGAAGAATTATCTCCAAAGATCTAAAATCCATAAACTTCCCTATCTTTTCATTGGAACAGTCACAGCATTCAACTGATGAATATTTATCAATACAAATCTACATACACTATTCAAAAGTTTTTTGGTTTTTGGGGGGGGGGGTTGGTGCTGGGGATCAAACTCAAGACCTTTCGATTGCAAGGCAGGCAGTGGAACCACTGAGCTAAATCCCCGGCCCTAAAAGTTTTTTAGTCTAATTGATAAAGTATTAGTTTCACAGAGTGGCATTTTGTCATGTGCTGGAGTCCAAAACAAAGCATGACAAGGAAAGAATGGATTGGCTTTTGCTCTAATTCAGTTTATATCAATTCCATATTACATATTTTTATTTCAAAGTCAGATAGCCAAATACTAAAAACTGTTCATTTTTAAGCCACCTTCTTAAACTCCACACCCTGTTCCTACTCTGCTCTCAGGGACCTCTCACTAAACATAAATTAATCAAAGTAAACAAGTTCCAAAAGTAGCTTGAAATTTATATTTTAAATCTTATTGTCACACTGACAAAGCAAAATTGTTCTTGTGTCACCTAGCAACTGTGTTGACTTTGGGCAAATTACTTAATTTCTCTTTATATCTCTTTCCTCATTGTAAAACAGAGCACCAGCAATACTTTCATTATTATTCCTTCTTATTGAAAAGACCATCTCTCACTTCTAAATATGTATTCAGAGAAATAGTGTTTTCCTTCAAAAAGTTTTAGTTTTAAACCCGAATTTTTTTTATTTTCCTCTTGGTAAAGGCTCTTTCAAATACTATTGTCACTGCCACCAAATTTCCAAAACTTTACTGAGGCATTTCTTTTTCTTTCTTTTTTTTTTTTTTTTTTTAACAGTACCGGGGATCAAACTCAGGACCTTGTGCTTCCGAGGCAAGCGGCAGAACCACTGAGCTAAATCCCCAGCCCTACTGAGCCATTTCTGAACACATATAATGGAAAGATAACTTGAGAATTTCAACTACACTCATACTGAGGGTAAGAATTCACCACTTGTTAAAGTCTTCACCAACTCTCAGCACCTTCCCTAAAATGTTAACATATTATTATGTTAATCATTGTTTTCTAGTAATGTTGGTTAGGGAACCCAAGTATTACAATCATATTATAATTTTAGGTATTTCAAAGGACACAACCTTCCTTTTAACCACTGAACAGAATTATGAACACAAAGCTTGGTGTGTTTTTATATAAACCTTGCTTCTAAGGTCACTGACAATACATTGAAGAGCCACTTGACTAAAAAGAAATCACTTGATGTCCTTAAGTCATCCTGTGTAGGTATGTATGTAAATATATAAGTACACACATATATATGTATGCACACATCTGTACACATACATGAAATATATTTGCATTTCACTGTGTTAATGAAAGGTGTTAGTGAAAGGAAAGATCTCCTACAAAGGCGGTGGTATGTATGTTGTCCAGGTGTTATCACCCTCCCCTTCCTCCCCATTCAGTGCCGATTTACAGTACACATTCATCACTTCCTGGGAAAGGCAGCTCAACCCTGAGGAAAGAGCTTTTAATTTTTCAAGTCAACGTGACATCTGTTTGTGTGAACCACAGTAACAGCTATGTGACCCTGAGCATTATTTAAAATCTCTGAATCAGGCTGCCCATTTAATATGCAAAAAAATAGCCTCCTGCAGGGCTGCTGGAATGACTGAATGAGGCAATGTGTGCAAAGCACACAAGCCAGCACCTGGCTGAGAGAAAGCTGTCAATAAATGATAATCAATGCATTAACATGTTAGCCTGGAGAGCGAAGGAAGCAGTTCACTGCATTTAATACTAATAGAAAAATTGTTTAAAAAAGAGAATAGATAACTGTCTTCCAAACTGGTGTAATACACATAGCAATCATTCTTTCAAAATGATTGACATTTGGGAATATTACGTTAACTTTTTGTAAATACTGCATGAAAATGGGAGGGGAAAGTCTTGATGAATTTAGACTATGAAGAATTCATTCCTCCATTCTTACAGACTTGGATGATCACATTATATCCTCCAGGTTTACTTGTACTGTGAGATTAAGTTAATTTCTTTTTGGTACCGAAGATTGAACTGGATCTTGTGCTTGTGAGGCAGGCAGTGGAACCACTGAGCTAAATCCCCAGCCCCAGAGATTAAGTTAATTTCTAATGAAATTAGCAAGGTTAAAGTTTAAGTAAACATATGCTTCAACTATCAACTCCTGGGCTAGAGCTACAACTAAACTGTCCAAATAAAACTGTTAATCAACATTCTCATTTAGTGATGAAATGTATAATACCCTTGAACAATTTATTATTCCCCTGAACATATTTTGCTTAGCATATGAATTAATTTGCAGTCTAGTCTGTGCTGCACTCCAACTGAGCAACCAATAGACTCAGTTTCAAGTTAAAACTTAGCCCTGGACAAGTCTAACAGTGTAGCCTTAGAAACCACTCTGCACAGCCGAGGATTTAGCTCAGTGGTTTCGTTGCCTACTATGCAAGTGCAAGGACCCGAGGTCGATCCCCGGTACCAAAAAAGGAAAAGAATATCTTCACCTATTTGCTCTGAGAAACAATTTATGTCAAAGAGAGGAGCAAAATGCTGATCTCATCCCATTCACAGCATGGTCATGGGTAATGGATTCCTTAAATATATCCAAGTTGATAAACGTTTGGAATTACTTATAAGGAGAGCCCAAAAGTAATGTGGCTCCACCACTCTAAGGCCTATTTATTGCCCCAACAGTGCCTATTTTTAATACACATTATCCCACTGTTCAGTGTTTCTGTATAATAAATATAATCAAACTATATGTGCTTTTTTACTTATCAAATCATAAATATAAACACAAATGGTAAAATACCACAGGAACGTTCTAACCAAATATACTTTCAATGTAAAGTAACTGGAGTTAAATTCTTGGAATGAGAGTCAAATTCTTGGAATGAGAGTCAAATTAGTAGACTCCTTAATATATTTAGTTCTATTTATTTGTAACTTGGAATTAACATATTCCTTTCTCCAAGCTTTGTCATTAATGGTTATAAATGAGGGCTGGGGATTTAGCTCAGTGGTTCTGCTGCTTGCCTTGCAAGCACAAGGACCCGAGTTGAAACCCTGGTACCAAAAAACAAAACAAAACAGAAAAAAACCAAAACTAAACTAAAAGATAATGGTTACAGATGAATGCCATTTTACTTTACAAATATGAAAAACATGTTACAACAGAACTATTTAAAGTCATGAACCCTTACTTATATTTTTTTAAAGGGTTTTTTTCCCTAATGTAACCATAAATTACAGCTCTCCTTGATTCCTTTGTTAATACTTCCCCTTACAGAGGATATTAACTTCTTTTGGAGTCTTAAATTCTTATACATGCAGCTTACTCTTAATGGTCTAAACTCTTTTCCCATAGAATTTTTTTTCTTGCTAGAACACAAAAACAGACAATAAAATGCTGCCATACCTATACTGGAACAAAAAAGTGATTTATAGAGAGACAAGTTCTAACAGCTTTGCCTACACTTTAATTCTAACATATCAAAAAGAAATAATTACTCAAAGCAGATTTCGGACTGTCTGCATCTCCTTTTATTATTCTGAAATTATTGTGACAGGTACTATCACACTTATGAAATATTAAGTAAACCCATAAGTGACTATTAAACATTTCTATTCAACTGCTTTTTTAAAAAATGTTAATACAGTTCTTCAATACTTCAAAGGACAAGTACATTATTGGCCTCATATAGTTAAAATTTCTACTAAAGAGTACAAGTTATATGTATAGAGAAATGTTTTAGTTGACACTTTAATCATATTTTGTTAAAAATTGTTCCTCATAACTATAGTCTAATCGATATTAACAATGCTATCCAAAGACAAGTAATGATTACTTCTAACCCCTTAATTTTAAGATCTGTATTAACCAGATACAAAAAAATTATTTACATTCAGAAGCCTTGAGTAAAAATGACTACAGAAAAAATTCACCAAAAAATGTAACTAAAGTAACATAGAAGGGAGGAAAAGGAGGCAGCAGACAATGCAAAATTTAATAGCCACCGAAGATAGCCACACACACACACACACACACACACACACTCTCTCTCTCTCTCTCAAGGACCCTTGTACTAGCTGCTCTCTCTTTCCAGAGCACTTTTATGCCAGATAGGTCTATAGCTCACACTTTCACTTCCAAAGTTAGCTTCTCAGTGAAAACTACTCTGAACCTATCATTTACAATCACAAACCAGCTCAGCCCACACACATCACTTCTAATTGTCCTAAGTCAGTGATGGTGAGGTTGTTCATACCACTGAAAAGTTCTAAAAGGTTTGCCATCACTGCCTAAGTGTTCTATTTCTTTTCCATTAAACTTACCAAATAAAATACTGCATAATATTCTTGGTTTGTCAGTCTTCATCTGCTACCCAATCAAATATAAGCCCAAAAGAGCAGAGATCCTGCCTATTTTTTTTTTACTGATATATCTTCAGTGGCTAAAAGAGTGCTTAGGACATAGAAAGCACTCAGAAAGTACTGATGTCTGTTGAATAATGAATACACAACTATGAATATCACAAATAGACCCAAAGTCAGACTTTTGTGTTATCACTGGATTTCAGGTAGTAATAATGATTTTAAAGAGCAAAGAGGTCATACAAATAAATGTATACATAGGAATACAAATTACTTCACATTTCCCCTTTCATGTCTCAGTCAGTGACACATAATTACCTGCATCTTCCAATAGAGCACAGTGCAATAGGATCTCCCACCACAGCAACCAAAGACTGTGCTCTTGTGATGGCAGTATTGAGAAGCTTGTAGTTAGATAAAAAACCATAATCTAAGTCCTCTGTAGAATCTTCCAGAAGTTGCTCTTTCTTTTTAATTGGCGTCTGTTTATGTTTACAAGTATGTCTTGTACGTACTGTGCTAAGAAACAAAACTCTGAATTGCTTTCCTATAAAAAGAATTTTGAAAAAAATACTTGAGATTGTCATTCTGAATCACTGATGTAATACACGCATTGCATTTTTTTAAAATGTAATTGCTAAATAATAGATACTGGCAAGGATACAGAGAAATGAAAACCTCTGTACACTGCTGGTACAAATGTAAAATGATGGAGCTGCTCTGGAAAACACTGTGGTAGTTCCTCAAAATAAATAAACATAGAATCGCCATATGATATAGCAGAGTCACTTCTGAGTATATAGCCAAAGGAACTGAAAGCAAAGTCTTGAAGAAGTATTAATATACCCAAGTTGATGCCACCATTTTTCACAACAGCCAAAAAGTAGACGCAACCCAAATTCCACAGATAAATGAATGGATGAATGAATAAAGTATATTATATATACATACAATGGATCATTCAGCCTAGAAAAGGACAGGGAATTCTGACATATGCTACAAAATGCATGAACCTTGACAATGTTATGCTAAATGAGATAAGCCTGTCACAAAAAGACAAAGTTTGAGCAAAAACCCAAAAGTTCTATAATCTGAAATACTTCTTTTTTTTGTTTGGGTTTTTTTTTGGTACCGGGGATCGAACTCGGGTCCTTGTGCTTGTGCAGCAGGCAGTGGAACCACTGAGCTAAATCCCCGGCCCTATAATCTGAAATACTTCTGATCTTTAACATTTCAGATAAGGGATATTCAATCTGTACTATGATTCCACTTATACGAGGTACCTAGAATAGTTAAATTCACAGAGGCAGAAAGTACAATGGTAATTGCCAGGGGCCGGAGAGTGTTACTGTTTATTGGGCACAAATTATCAGTTTGAGAAAATGAAAAAAGTTCTGGGGATGGATGGTCACGATGGCTACACAATAATGTGAATGTACTTCAACTGAACTATAGACATAGAAGTAGTTAAAATGGTAAATTTTTATGGTATGTGCATTTTACCATACTAAAAACATGTTATTGCTGGAACCAATCTTTGAAATTATCTAATCCAAGGTCTCATTAAACACAAGGACGTTTTCTTGAAGCAGAATAAGCTAGCCTCTGGCCAACCAGGGGAAATACTGCTGATTCTACCAGGAAGCTTTACTGAGAGTCAGATTTAAATGACAGTTTTTCTTATGCTCTTCTTATACTATTCTATGACAAATCTTTTATCGTATGACAAACCTTCAAAAATTTGAAAATAGCTTTAATGTCAATCCTTAATCTTCTATAAGGCTAAACAATCCCAGTCCTTTCAACCATTCCTGACTCTCATATGGTAGTCTCTAGTCCATTAACTATTCTAGGTCTCCTTAGTGTTTTCTAGTTTAGTTAAGTGTTTACTAGTGTTCCTCCTAAAATACCCCAATTCAGCATAATCTAGACAAGAGGTGGAGGTGTGGAGCTACTTGTTTCCCATGATATGGACATTGTATTACTCTTGCTACTGTGTATTACCATGAAACCTAACATTGCACTGGACATTTTTAGTGCTCACATCATAGTAGTGCATCATATATTTAAAAGTACAAAGTTTGTACCAATTCAGTACAGGAACACAATCTAAAAGAGTTGGTATTAACTATTCACTTAGGGAAATCTACAGATAAAATCTTTACAAAGAAATTAGTTCTCAATATACTTTAATAATGTGTTGTATGTTTTTATAACTGTAATTACATAATACAGATATTATGTGGCATTATATAATTAGGTCATAGAAAAAAATCCACTTTTAATACTTTTACTTAGATAAAAAAATTAATAAACATGTAAACAAAGCTTTATCTACAAAAGCTGGCACTGAAAAAACTTAGTATGAAGTGAATACATCACATCTGCTCCAGAATTAAGTGACCTAAGATCTCTTAGTAATTTAAGATCTTTTAAAGAATTAAAAATCAAATATAAACACACTAAGAATTAGGCATCTGAATAACAATGCATTCCAATTAATACTTACCTTGAACATTTAGAACCCTTTCTACATTAACATCAGATAATCTCTTTTTTCGAAGTTCAGCACGTATCCTAAACACTTGATCTGCGTATGGAGTCACCACACCAATGCTGCCATCATCTAACTTCCCCCATGCTACTGGCCATTTCCTTCTTAACTCTTCTACACGTTCCACAACTTCAAATACCTTCAAATACAAACACACACATACATATTAGTTATCACCAGTGTTTGGAAAAAGAATATGGTAAGTAGAAGTGATGTATAAAGGATCTCATTTTAGCAAATACCGTTTGTAAAACTACTAAATGGGAATAATGTGTTCTTTATGTGGACGCAGTGAGAAAACACATTTTTATTCACATTTCAAACAATAAAATTCTTCAATAATGCAACCAGTGAAAACATGAAAATCAGAGACAATTTAACTGGCAACTGGTCAGCATTCTTTGTGCAGTCCCCCATTCTTAAATGGGGAACAGCTCAAATCCCTGGTAGGAAGGATAATACTGATGGGGTTATATAACTAGAGGAAGAAGAGAAATAATTCTTCATGTCCCCAGTGCTTCTCTGTCCATTCTCTAAATGAGGCCAATGAAACCAGCCAAACAGCTAGAAGGTTCCTATGATGAGTATAATGAAGTCCCAGCAGCACAAGACCTAGCATCAGGCCCTCCTCACTGATAGAACTATGCAAACCAGCTGACAGCAAGCAGCTAATACACTACTGGGTCTAGGACAAACTTCAAAGAGACCAATTTTCAGAATTCACTGCTTTCTTGCAATACAACTTTAGCCAAGCCATTCCATTAACTTTGCAATAAAATAGCAAACTGAGTTTTATACAACTGAGTTTTTTGGACTCTACTTATTTGGATAATGATAGGGTTTTAGTATGATTTGATCTATTTTAACTCATCCATTTTAACTCATCTGATCTATTTGAACTGATCAAACAATTTTAATGTTTGGCACAGTAGAGAATAGAAAAGTTAATAAAACATGTTCCTTGCATTCTAAGTAATTACTGTCTTCTTAGAAAACAGTGACCTAGTAAGATACACACACACACACACACACACACACACGCACGCATACATACATATGGCAAGGTCAATCCAGGGTCAGGCAAAACTCTAAGGGACATACAGTAGAAGGAGAAATTTCAAAACATGTCTCTTAAAAACATTATTTATTTACCATTTATTAATATCTATTTGAATTTATAATATTAAATATGCTTAGTAAAATTACAGTTTTTATTTTTTCAAGACTGTGAAGATTAGGCTAGAAAGCATCTCTCATTTCTAGATTTAAATTCAATAAACAATGGTGTTAAGAATAAAGCCATCCCGAGGGCTGGGAATTTAGCTCAGTGGTTCCGCCATCTGCCTTGCAATTGCAAGGACCGGAGTTTGATCCCCAGTACTAAAAAGAAAGAAAAAAAAACCAAAGAATAAAGCCATCCCATTGTTACAATGATAAATAACAAGTATATCAAATATACACACTGCCCAAGAACTCTTTAAGACTGGACTGGATTAAAGACTGGTGGGAATTCTTACAAGAAACAAGAAAGAGTGAGGGTAAGTGTACTACAATAAGAAATAGAAAAACAATAAGTAATTGTCTTTACCCACAGGGTCAGATGTGGGTGTAGCTAAAACTTGGGAGACACCTCTGCTGGTCTACCACTAAGCCATATGTCATTGTTCCCTACTTTATTCCTTTGTTCACACCATTATACTGTGTTTCAGGAAGCATAAAACTATAGTCAAAATGCCCCAAGGGCTGGGAATGTCACTCAGTGGCACAGCACCGGCCTGGCAATCATGAGGTCCTGAGTTCAATTCTTAGTACTAAAAAAAAGAAAAAGAAAAAGCCCAGACTTGGAATGGTAGTATGAGAAGCTTGGAAAAATCCCTCTCCCAGATAATATAGATAACTTTTAAGATTGTCAAAATTAGTAAGGAATCTGGAGATTGATCAAAGAGCTTACAAGAAAGTAACACACATTTATTCCTTCACTCTTTTTTTTGTACTGGGGATTGAACTCAGGACCTTGCAGTTGTGAGGCAGGCATGGTGCCACTGAGCTAAATTCCCCAGCCCAAGAAGCATTTATTCAACAAACCCTACAGAAACTCCGTAAAAACAGTGGGAAGCTAGGATACTCAAACTAGGGACTGCATCCACCTCTCACAGTTCCATCTTATATAACTGTTTCAGCAGCCAATTTCCATCACAGTGGTTCTCATATACCCTAGCTCCCTATGAGGAAAGAGCTATTCCAAGTGATTCTGGAAGCTGATAAACACTGGCAGATCCTATTTTCTACAGGTCCATGCTGCAGAAGGCCTATATTGAACAGCTGGCAGCAGTGGGATACTGTTTCCCTAGCCTCATCTCCTGCTTACACAGAGAAGATCTGAGTGGGACAGTAGGTGAAGACTGCAGTCTCCTTTTCCCACACGGTTCTATATTGCTGGAGGACTGATTCAGTAGGTTTGGCAGTTGGATGGATGACTGGTCCCACCTTCCCAGGACAGAAGACCTATCTTGTATAGATTCAACAGCCAGTGAACATCAGCAGATATCAACCTCCCCTAGACTGGGTCACAGAAAGATCTATACTGCATGGTGGCAAAAGCTATTTCTGTTTGTGTCTGTCTGTCTCCCTCCCTGTCTCCCTCCCTCCCTCTCTCTCTTTCTCTCTCTCACAGCAGAGCTCTGGCTCCCAAATTGGATGCTGGTGAGACACCAGTAAAAAGCAAGTTCTTCCACATTGTCCCCCACAATTGCTCTGTAAGTTCTGCCCAGGACAGGGTAAAAGGAAACCTCACAAACTTGCAACATCTATCTCTAAGGAACCCAACTTCAGTGATCATACTGGGGAGCAATTTATGCCCTAAAGAGGTGAAAAATAATTGAAATGAAAAATTTACCAGCAGGATTCAACAGTAAATTTGAGCTGACAAAGGAAGAAATCAGCAACTGTGAAGATAGAGATTATGCAATCAAAAGAACAATGAGAAAAAGTAATGAAGAAAAGTGAACAAGGGGATACCATTAAGTTCATCAGCACTCAAATGATGAGAAAACCACAACAGAAGAGAGAAAAGAGCCTAAAAAGTGCTTAAAGAAGTGATGCTTAAGGGCTGGGGATTTAGCTCAGTGGCACTGTCCCTGCCTTGCAAGCACAAGGTCCTGAGTTCAATCTCCAGTACCAAAAAAAAAAAAAA